TGAATTTTATATCAAATAATATGTAGTGACAAATTGTTGGCGTTCAGTGCACAATATGACATTTTAATTAAGTTGCTTGTTTGAGATCTTGCCATTTCATCTATATGCTATTGTACATGAAATTTCTATCAAAATTGAAGTTGCAAGAATTTTGGAAAATATTGTGGAGTAACCAAAGTTGTGCTTACTACCTGATGTATGCCAAGTTGATATTATCTTGCTTATTGTGTTTTATTTGCAGGTCGATAGGAGCAGCAATGAAAAAGCTAAGAGCTGCCCATTTTCAATGATAGCAACGTCGATCTGGTTGTCAGCATAGTAGTGCAATAGTTATCAGTAGTGAAATTCATGAACTGCTGAGATGAGATGGTAATGCTTTTGAATGTATTGATGCCGGAACATTTGGACATCATCTACATGTAGCCTGGATGCTATGAATGAATGTGCTGAACATTTGGACTCTATCTTTATATGTTGTGATGAAATTACTGTATGGACAGTCCATATTTTAATATGCAGTTGCTACTGTTTCCAAATAATTATTGTATCCAATTTGCTGCATGGGTAAGTGTATATTATCCTGTCGGTGGTCTGTTAACACCTGACAGAAAAATACAATTTTTCTGTGCGTTCACCTAACCCGACAGAAAAATACAATTTTTTCCTGTGAGTGCACCTCTGCAACTCTGACGGGACAACACTAACAGAAAAATGATTTTTCTATCGGGTTTTTCTTTTTTCTGTGAGGAATAATGCACATAAATTTTATTTTTAATTTGGCCAAACATAATTTTCTGTGCGTGTAACACCCATAGGAAAATTGTTTCTGACGGCGAACACACAGAACAATTGAATTTTTCTGTCATTATATTTTCGTGTGTATTTTTCTGAGGGTACACCGTCAGAAAAATATTTTTCTGACGGTATTTGCATTTTGCTGTGTGTTTTCGCACACACAGAAGAATGCGAGTTTCCAGCAGTGAATGGAACTTGCAACCGATAAAAGTAAAGCAAGTATATATAAAAGAGCAAGACAAAAGAGACAATCTGACTTTTTCCTGTGGTATTTAGTTGTTGCCATGACCCCCTAACCATGTTGGAGCACCTAACAAAGATATTGTTACACGCCTATCCCATAGTGAATACCCATTCATCACTCTAGGGTGGTGGGTTTTAATAGCATATACAAGCCTTCTTGGAGCCTCCTCACAATAGATCCACTGAGGAAGATCACCAAGTCCTTCGCTGGGGCCATCTAGGTGTTGCCAAATACTAAGAGAGTAACAAGTCTTCAAGCTTCAACTTCAGAAAAAGTTGAGCAAGAACGCTAATGCCACTCCGGGCTAACACTCAAATCTCACTTCTTGGCTTGTGTAGCTCTCCAAATGCTTCACAAACACCTATCTCTCTTTCTCTAAGAGTAGGGTAAAATGGGGTTGAAGTGCAACTCCAAATGAGTCAGGAGTAGCGCTTATATATATAGAGAAGGTGAAGGGGGCCACCAGCTACTAGCCATTAGAACAAGTTGTCACACACAGTGAGCACCAGATGATCTGCGGCTCAAAAGGACCCCGGCAGATCATATGGTGGCACTATATAGAGAATATTCTATAACTTACTTCAACATATGATACACTAGCGGGTCATACAGTCCCACCGAATCATATGGTACAGTGCATCATAGAGACTTGGTCAACTAGATAATCACAAAGTCTAGTTTGGCTCACTAGATGATCTACCAAGGTCACAAAGTCCTCAGGTAGATCATATGGCGCACACTAGTAGCTATGTCAGTAAGTCACTAAGTCAAGTTATCACATTAGTACAAACATAAGTTATAACATTTAAAATGTGCCGCACATTCTAGTATTAAAGTTGACTAAGTACATGTAACGTGGATCTCATTTTATAATACTCTTTAATAGAAAATGTAATATTGGTGCAAACAGAGTTAGAATCAACATAGTATTACATAATAAAAGTTGTGGTTATAAATTTTTTCCCTCGCTATAGGCTGTTGGCCAGCCAACAAAACTATTTGATGGCCCACGTGGCCATTCTGTGTTATCTTACCAAACTTCCATTGCCGCACATAGGCCGGCCCAACAGGAGATAATACGTGCATTGTAACCATCCAGTTGGCCGGCCCACTGTAAACCATCCAGTTGTGTGGGCCATGACACGAGGGGTGGTGACACGCTGATGACCCGGCAAGACCCTACCACGGGCCTTGTGTGTATATCCCTAACCATAAGTCACTTGTATCGATATGAGATTGTTTTCACTCATACTACATTCATCTGATTTTCAAATAAAAATTTGGAATTCAATTACAAAGTTGTTGATATAGTGGAGATCTATAACTTTGGTTTTGGTCGTTTCTTCATTTGAAGTCGTTTGAAAAATTTAAATTTCAAATATGAGAAATTCAAACATATTTTTTTCTTGGATAGATGATTTCAAACGAAAACGTTGTTAACTACAAAGTTTTGTAACTATTCGACATCTATAACTTTGGTTTTAGTCATTTCTCCATCTGACATTGTTTGAAAATTTTGAATTTTAATATATAAGGACTTCAAACAATTTTTTGGACAATATAATATTTCAAATGAAAAAGTTCTCAACTGAAGTGATTTATATATTTTCAAGATCTATAATTTTGGTTTTGGTTGTTACTTCATCGAGGTCGTTTAGAAATTCAAAACATTTGAATTTCAAAATGTGCGAATTGAAATTCAAATAGAATTTGCTAGGTCTAAATAATTTCAAATGAAAAAGTTGTCAACTAAAAAGTTATAGATCTCTTCGAGATTACAACTTTGACATAAAGTTTGTCTTCATCCGACTTAGTTTGAAAAAATTATGAATTTTACTGTACGACACCTATTTTTAGAGGCGGTTCTTGATCCAGTCACCTCCCGAAATCCATTGTAGATGTGGCTGCTAGAGCCGCCTCTAAAAATAGGGACATTTATAGACACGGCTGAAAATATCGGTTGTCCCTACAAATGCATTTCTAGAGGTGTCTCATTTCCGGAACCATTTTTAGATACAGATTTAGATTGAGCCGCCTCTATTGAAAAATGAGGTGTCTCTACAAATACTTTTTAGTAGTGTCATGTACCACTCATGAAGTACGCTAATGTCTGTGCAATAGTTTTAAGCACATTCCATACTGATAGTTAACTATTTTAACAGCAAGGTCACTGCTGGGGATAAAGAGATTTTTTTTACTGTGCTAACTCTTGCTACTCCTATCTAAAAGCATATTTTCTATAAGGAATATAGGTGTAAGAGACTAAAGATGAAGATGATTATGACGATATGTTTTTTTTAAGACTACAATTCTGATGGTGACGAGGATTATAGCAATTATGATGATAAAGACTATGGCTCTTAAGGCACTCATGATTTTGGCCCTGATTATGTGACCTTTGGTGATGAGGAAAGGATATACACTTCTTTATCCACTAAACAATTTGTCTAATGTGTAATGAACAATGTTGCCTTAGACAAGTACTTTTAATCACATAATGGTTATATGTAGAAGCATGTTAGAGCATCTCTAATTGTTCAAACAAACACCAATTGGCAAATCAATGAGTTTTCCTAGTGGCCAAAAGAGTTGGGGGCATATTTGTTGGATTCCTCCAACAGTTTCTAAAATCTCACTCCTAATATAGAAGGCAATTTTGCATTAGGAATCCTAGAATTGTGTATTTTTATTGACAACCTTGTCTACTCTTTATTATTCTCCCCATCAGATTGGCTGATTGATACACACACGTATATTTCCACACGAGGGGTCGATTTTCCCAAATGCGGAAATATTTTTTTTGAAGTAGTTGCATAGCAGTTTTTTTTCAATGTTGCCAAAAAGTCAAGATTGCGAGTGGATTTTAGAAACTCAATGAGTGTTCAAATGTACTCCCTCGGTATTAAGGACAAAGTCATTCTAGTTTTTACATGGAAGGCTACAATTTGTAGCATACAGATACATATATGTACTCCCTCGGTATTAAGGACAAAGTCATTCTAGTTTTGTTAGAACTTACTAGAAGTGGTCAATCATCTTAAGTTTAACCAACTTTATATAAAAGAATATCAATGTTTATGATACCAAATAATTACGATGAGATTCATTATGTAATATACATTCATAATATGACTTAATAATAGAGAACAATCCATGTATGACACAATTAAACTTATGACCTGAAAACTTTAGACTTCTCTATTTGACATTGTCTTCGAATTTCATTCTCTATATGATATTACCGTTAGTTTGAAGGCTAACACTGTTAACTAACACACAAAATGACCAAAATACCTCTAACATAAGAAAATGCACTTATGCCCGGTATGACACTGTTTCATGTATTCAAATACGCCTTATTTGGGCCCTGATTATGTGCTTATAATTGGGTCATCTTGGTGAAAATAATAAATAATGATTAAATTTCATCCACATTATATAATCAATTTATGCTTGCTGGTACGTGTTATTTAAACATCTTTTTATTAAGTTTAATCCATATTATATATCTATGCTTGCTAGTACTCGTTATTTAGGAATCATTTTATTAATTAAATTTCATCACATTATACAATGTTGGGATGGAGAGCGCAGTAGAAGTTAGTAATTATACTGCTCTATCAACACCAACCGTTTATGCTGAAATTTGAATTAACCATAATATCCTAATAATCTTTTAATTTCTTCCTAATAATAGGCATATAAATCAAGAAATCGAATCCCCCATTAGCATTTACCTGGAAATCCATCCGACTAATTGATTGCTTTTAACTGATGGCTAACTCACAGTACCACACACATCAGCATTGATTTGAATAAAATTGTAGATAGCTAGACGGATATGGATACAATTGATTCCTGTGTGCATGCATGCACCATATACCTTATGTTGTCTTGGAGCAGCACTATTTAAGTGCCCTCCGTCTTCATTCCCTGATCACGCCCACAGCTAGTAGAAGCCATGACGACCATGAACACCTGCAGCCTCCTCCTCGTCACAGTCATCGTCGCCGCTGTTGTCTGCGCCTTGGCCCCCTCGCCGGCTACCGCCGACCCCTACCTCTGCCCATGGAGAACGGTGGCTCACCCCGAGGACCCCTTCATCCAGAACCTCGGCAGCTGGGCGGTGGACCAGCAGCATACCGTGATGCACTTCGAAAAGGTGGAGAGCGCCAAGGCGCAGGGCGTCGGCCAGTGCACCAGCATGACCCGCAACTACGAGCTCATCATCGACGCGTCCATCCGCGGCACCCCCGACGACGGCGACGACTACAAGTACAGGGCGGTGGTGTACGTGATTAATTTCACCCAGCCGCAGAAGGTTATCTCCTTCGGGGCCATCCCGCCGAGCCACCGGCCGCCGGCGGCCAACTGATGAGCCTGCATGTGGCTACGTAGTTTTCCGTAACTAGCCATCAATTTCATGCATGCGAATCTAGCTAGTTTCTGTCGTTCCATTTTATTTATCATTTATGTCATATAATAACAGAAACAAGTCCAAATTAATAACCATTGTATGCAGCCTGTTGTCTGTAGAAGTGAATAGTTGGGTGTCCCTGGTGACTCGTATGATTAGCGAGAAGACCTAGTAGTCCAACAGTGGCACCCTGGCATGAGTGCATGGCTGCAACTGAAAAATATATAGGGTGTGGTTTGAATAATCAAACCATATTAATACTAATTATTAACTTATTATGAGAAATCTGATGATGATGGATCAATCCATTTCATTCTACAAAACAAATATATAGCGCGAGGAAGATGCCGCTGATGTAGAAGGCAGGAGCAACAAAGAGGTCAAAATGATTAGAGTTTGGGGAGCGACAAAGAGGGTGAAATGATCAAATGATTAGAGTTTGGGGATGCAGGAGAAAGTGCAGCAAGAGGGGGGTGGGGGGGTTATAAATAGAGTCTCAATCGGTTTGCATGTCGGTTTTCCAAGTTCGTTACTAGAAAATCTATCATATAGAGTTGGTTTCTAAGTACATCTTGCTATGCCTTCCACCAAGTAGATGAGGTACCCTGACTGGTTTGGGCATCTAGTACGTGTAGCCCTCTTGGGCTTAGGCTGTTGTCCATGCAGTGAGGTACCCTGGGTACATGTCCATATGGTGAGGTACCCTGGCTATGGTTGTGGCGAGGTACCTAGGTACATATCACCGGTGAGGTACCCTGGCTGTGGCTGTGGTACCTAGGTACACATCACTGACTACCCTATAGGTACATATCACCGATGAGGTACCCTGGCTGTGGCTATATGGTACCTAGGTACACATCACTGACTACCCTAGGTACATATCACCAACACATATGCTTGGCGAATGCATGTTGGATGCACTCCCTGCAAGTAAAATATCTAATACTCTTCATGGGACCAGCGTATTATTAAGAAAATAAATATTTAGCAGTACAAACACTCTGCAACAAGCAAATTGACGATACATGCTAGATATTTCTTTTCTTAATGATACGCTGATTCGGAAGATCACCAAGTAACTTGTCTCAATTTACTTTGATGTCACCGAGACAGAATTCAAAATCACCGGCATATCGTACTATAGAAGGATAGAAAAAATTAGAACATAGGACCACATTAATAATAACTTTAAGAAACAACTATATCTGCACCTCCTCTCCACATCTGGTCGCTACATGTGAATTTTAGGATGTCAAAAGAGCAGGTGCTTGTGCCTCTCAAGATCACCCACCTATAGATAATTCAACAAAATTATAATCCTTTATTCTATCTTTAATTTATCTCATTCAGATAACTTAAACCTACAATGATTCAGTAACTATATTTCATATTTAGAGCAGTAATATCTAAAATGTAATTTTAGATCACCGTAGTAGTTGTTAATAATCACAAATTGCTGCCATTTGAAAATGGAAAAAGATAGCAAATATCACAGCAGCATTTATGCACTTGGCAAAAACATTTTGGATTTTCACACTTCACTAGTCACTAATCACTACAGTAGCACTAGGTCAAAGTGGAATAATACACACCAGCACACAACTACATGAGCAGTCAAATAGACAATCCGTGAAGGTGGCTACTTATTACTCTCCATTGTGGCTACTTATGCCATTCTTCAAATGACTTTTGTTTCTTTGTCACCTTGGAGGTGGAGTGCACTCCTACATATTATTCATTGGACTGGTGCCGAGCGTCAGAGTGGGCACATTTACACCCAAAATCGAAGACCGAACCGAACCGCACCGAACCGAACCGAACCGAAATTTCGGTTTTTTCGGTTTTCGGTTTCGGTTTCGGTTCCAAGATCTGTGAACTTCGGTCTTCGGTTTATATTTCTGTTTCTAGCTGCAACTCAACCGAAACACCGAACAACCGAAACATTCAACGGCAGCCACAAGCTAGCCACTCAGGCATTCAGCGAACGCAGTACGCAGCAGCAAGCGGCAGCCCAGCCCAGCGAGACCCACCACACTCCAAGTCTCCAAATCACGTGAATATAGCCCAGCACCGCAACAACAGGCACCGGGCACCACTCGTCCGTCCCTAACCCTATCCAAATAATGGAGAGCGGCGGCGGTGGTGCAGGCGGCTGGCGATGGCGCGACACCGGACCGGGATGGAGGCTAGCATCGCCACTCGCCGAGCTGCGGTGGGCCAATGGCGGCGTGCCGCGCAGATCCCGGTCGCGGGATGACCGACGAGGGCGAGGATGGTGCGCGACCATGGCCGCTGCGGACGTGGGCGTGGGCGGCTGCGCTGGCCTGCAAGGAACGCCGCGGTGATGGACTTTGGATGGGGATGGCGGCGCAAGCAGCCCTCGTCAAGTTCCCGCCATGGATTTGAAGTGTGCCGTGTATTGCTGTGTACGTTAAATTTCTGATTCCTTCCATCGGTTTGCTCGGTTAAAAACCGAAAAACCGAATTAAAAACCGAAACCGAACTTATCGGTTTTTGATTTTCAGACCAACCGATCGGTTCTTGAGTTTGGAAAACCGAAATTTCTTGGAACCGAATAAACCGAACCGAATTAACGGTTAAAACCGAACGCCCAGGCTGAGCCGAGCGGCAACCATCCAAACACTCCCCACAAAATATCCTAGTTCTAGAATATTCTACACTCACCATATATCATGGTGAGCTATATATCCACCATCTACAATATTATTCCACACTTTGCCATCACCTTATCCATATGCATGGCAATATCTATACCTTTAGTCTCCAAAGCCTCCTATATTTTTCTAGTTTTTTCTTTTCTTTGCCGTGAACTTAGCTCTAGAATCTTGCATGGCAAGTAGCTTCCATGTATACATTTACATTTTTAACAATGAGTGTCACAATGGATATTTTTAATAAATGCAGGGAAATGTTATTGGATTTTAACAACATAACAAAATACCGGTCATGTGTTCATACAAAATTGATGTACATTTATGAAATGTTCGACATTGTGATTTATGTTGGTTTGTATTTCCATCGTTCATCTAGATTGATGTAATTTTGTAATTAAGATTTTGGGAATATATCATCTATCTTTAGTAGTGAAAGGTTAGGAAGATGCATCATTTAGCTATTTTGGTTATCCTAGTCATGCACCATGTAGTAATAGAATCATCGCTGATAGTGTAGTCATCCATTGTGAGTACCATGCATCTAAAATCCATAACACTCTTAGGCTCATCAAACTATCAGCTTAAAGGCTCCTTCAGACCTACAATCCCATCTGCTATGAGATCGCTGTGTCAAATGATACTCACGTCAGCTTAAAGGCAATCCTCCTTCAGACCTACAATCCCATCTGCTATGAGATCGCTGTGCCAAATGATGCTCATGTTAGTGTAGTTTGGCTTCATCATTGTAGGCTCCTCCTCGCATGGATGTTGTTTAGAAACCATCTTCTCAAAACTCCTTTTCCTGCCCATGAACATTTTCTTCAATTGTTTGTATGTTGGTATATTTTAGACGCACACAGATTAATCCGCAAGCGTACGGATACCGCTGTAGCTTTCACCAGAAGTATTCCAGAATATCGAACTCAGGGAAACATGTGTGAGTTTAACTAAGTCTAACTTAACCAGGGATAGCAACAAGGCTAAAGATAAACAAGAGCGTAGAGAGGATTACTAAGGTTTTCTACTTCTAACTTTGGTAAGCTATGTCTTCTAGTGTTCAATTGGGGACCTTACTAAGGAAAAACATAAAAAAAGTATGCTATTCTGAAGTAACTGGGTCCTACTTGGCCTACAGATGGGAGATGGACTACAAAGGACTCAATGAGGCTATCACCCTCGCGATCTACCACCGATCCGGAATGCAGGGTGCATCCATGAGTAACCGAAGTCTAAGCACCACGCTTATACTACGAATACTACTTTAACCCAAGAGCTACAAGGATTAAAGTACTGAAAAGAGTCGCAATCCTGATGAACAATATAAACACAATACTTACTTGAATCAGAAATTGATTACCAGAGATGTCTTAGAAGCAAGCTCAAGTAGAACTTGAATCCGCCAAGGTACAAGCCATAGAGAGAGCACTGACAGGCCGACACTTCCTCCAAACTGTTCGCTCATTCTCTATCTCACTATTTTCTATCTACAAAGGATAGCACCTAATGTGGTGGACTATTCTTCTCTTGATTGTTGACATCCCTTCTGGAGGAGGTAGGGTGGTCCTTTTATAGGGGTCACAAAGCATCCTGTGGGCCCATGAATCCCTGGCAACTCATCATCTCGAGCCTCGATCTGAACCGACCTTGATCCAGGCGTAGATTGACTCTAAGAGGCGGTGGAAAACCGTCATTTGAAGCAGGAGCCGACGGGTGGGGCCAGGAGGCCGGCCGACCTACAGGTGGGGCTGGCCGGCCCCACCCTCTGACACCTTAGGTCAATCTTCGGCGGTTTACCTTCTAAGATGGATTGGGGGTCCTCTAAGTCGGTTTCGTTACAGATGATCATGATTTGCTCTAACGAATAGGTTCACATTGACTGTTTTCTGATTAAATCCTCCTACAGTCACAAAATCACCAAAACTTGTGGAACTAATTAGTTTAAAACACTATACCTATGTTGATGATCCATTTTAATCATATATGTAGGATATATTGACGGTTTATGATTGACATTAACTACCGTCAACATTGCACTATCCTTAGATTGTAGTATAAGCAGTGAGATATAAGAAATATATAATTTTATCATTGTTAAGATAGACCTAAACAAGATGGTGGGACTAAGATAGGTTAGCAAAAGGACCGTGCACTAGATTCATCATCATCATTGCTAAGCTCAGCAAAAATAGCTCAGAAGCTTCACCAACTTGAAATTGTGTGTATTTACAAGTCACTATGAAATTGACATGTGTTCAAAGTCACTTGTGAGGAGCAAATGTGCTA